AAAAAAAAAAAAAAAAAAAAAAAAAAAAAAAAAAAAAAAAAAAAAAATTACTCTTTGCGTTGGATACTAAGTTGTTCAAATCATCGGGTCATATGAACACCTATATTTTGGGGGGACGGATATGACATATACCCATATGTATGTCTCATAAGGAAGTTAAAAAATGAAAATATCATAGTTATGTGCCATGATTTGAGCAATTCCGATTCTTCATCTTCTCACTATTCATTTAACCTAGCGTGAAAACTTTTGCCTAAACCGAGCCCACTAAAGTTTCTAAATTGATGTTCATTTTACTATCAATCACATATAGAGATGTCATGAGGTAAGGCGTGAAAGGAAAAGCCTTTTTCGTTCCAGTGTTCGCCAATTTTTTCAATTCTTATCCCTGTAAAAAATTTTAATTTATTTTTACGGAGATTATGATGAACATTACCCACAAAGAATTCACAGAGATCGAGTTCTCCAACCCATTTTGAGATTCTGTCCTAGTCGGAGGTGTAATAATACTCGATCATTATGAGTAAACGAGATTTGTGTGATGGTATTAATGTAAATTTGTCCTCTTGAAGGAAAAATAGAGCATATGAACAAACTTGCTTGGACTTTTGCTCCAAATTGTACGGCTAGCGCTAAACGACAAACAAGATTACATACATGTGGACAATGTTGAAATTTTGCATTTGGTACCCTTTCTTAATCAAGATTAAGAGATAAGGATGAACATCAAAAGCTTAATTACATTTTAAAAAATAATAATTATCCGAAAAAGAAATGAAAAATGGAGTGAGTATAAGAATGTTCGGTAAGCAATCTACTTATAAATTCTTATTGTATCTGAACTTTTGTTTTGAGTAGTTCTCTCGTTGAAGTTTTTGTACTTTGACTTAAGTAACTTGCTTTGTCTAGACAGTGAATGATCCATGTTTTGGATCGAGGTGCTACTTTAATGACATCCAATATGGTATCTATTGGTCCGAACATCATCTGTGGAAGGATAAATGACATACCCTTCTATAGGGTCGTAAAGTCACTCTAAGCCTGAGTGAATCCATGTGTCAGTTAGCTACTACGTCCACTTGTATGGTATCTCGCCCCAGTTCAAGACGAGTTTATAGAACAATTTGGTTAAAATTTAACATAAATTCATAAAACAAGAGAAAAATCGAAGCTAAGAAATCAACTTCTCGATATAGTTTAATATGTTTAAAAATATAATAATAAATTTATTTTTAGATCGAGAATTTGGACTTCACTTTTATTGGGGTCCATAATCATTAAACTTGACAATATAGTCCTGGACGTTTACTTATTCTTTGTCCCTACAGTTAACACCGTACGTTTTTTTCGTTACTTTATACTATATAGAGCTGATCGAGCAACCTTTTATCATTGAGATCAGGTTGATTTGTCTTAAATTTAATAATTTTTTAGTTAAATTATAAGTTTAGTCTCTCAATTTTGTCCATGAGCTTTCAAAATGTTTAACCGATCTCTCGGGTTTCAATTTATGTTAAATAAATCTATGATTTTTTTTAAATAAAATTTATGAAGTTATTAGAAAAAAAAAAAAAAAAAAAAAAAAAAAAAAAAAAAAAAAAAAAAAAAA